GGGGCGACATCTGGGTGGGGTTCGGGGGGGGGTATTTCATTTCACATTCAAGCCCTCAATTGCTGCCACACGCCTGGTATGGTAATTAGCCTACTTAATTAATCTCAGTAGAGTGCCTAGCACAAGGGCAGGTTCTAATTTGACTACATCAAAGATGGGGGTAAATGCTGCAACTCTGAAATCATAGCAAGGTACTTTGTGTGTGATTTCCACAGTCTGCCGTTATATCACAGGGGCAGCAGGGCAAATCAGAGCTACTGGTTCTCCAAGCATGAACATCTCCACACACACACATATAGTTCCTCCACGTGTTCTCAATTACATTAGGAAGACGGCCATTTTGAAGTGAAACTTAATGAGCTGCGGGCTGCGAGTCAAGCCTGGAATCTTCAAACTAGAGGTGGGAGCCTGATTTGTCGGCGTCTTCCAGGTCCTGCTCTCCCTCCCTCTGCATTTACTCCCTACACCCTCGATGAGACAACGTCCAGCAGATGAACAGCCATGTCAGGAATGCTGTCCCGCACAAAGCCCACTGCTCTGCGGTTCAGACAAAGCCACAGTGTGCGAGGGTACTGGGAAAGAGAGCGCTTCGTGTCAGTGTGACCGAGAAGAGTAAACACTCGCAGGTACAGCGCGAGTGCAGGGAGGGGAGGAAAGGTGTGAGAAAGATGATGGCGAGAGAGAGAGAAAAGTATAAAAACACGACAGGGTTCAAAAAGGCAAGATGTTGATAAAAGGAGGTTAAAAGCCGACAGGCAGATCATTACAAATAACTACGGGACTTTGTTTTTCCTTCCTGGTGTTACACTCATACCAAGATAATGGCTTTATTGTAGTTAATAATCACATCACTACTACTACACTCTGCCTTCTAAAGACGTCTTACAGTTTCTGAGATGCCCCTGCACTTTCTCACCCTTAAAGAGGCAGGAATGTTTACAACAGGAATCACAACAGGCATCACAACAGGGATTTACTCGAAACAGATTGGCCACAAAGCTGAACACTCAAGTTGAGATGTTGGAAATCTTCACCAGTAGCATGCTCAAGGATTTATTTTAAAAGACAAGTGTTTGGCTCATAAAAACATCTTGATCTGTACCATTATGTGCTCTGTCGTTTCCAGCAGTAAATCCCCATCAAACTAACCCGTTTGCTTCACTGCTATTCCCCGATATCAATACACAGCTTTGATGAGACGCAGTGTGACATGGCAGTTTACGAAAAGCAGACCAGTGCACGCTCAAAGGGTAGACGCCGTAAAGTGCCAAGAAACTCTTGAGTCCCGAGACGACTTGAGTTGAACAAACCGAGAGAGGATGTAGATCCGTCTCAAGTGGAATGTGCAGGGAACGGTTGGAAGGGAGTGAGGGAGAACAAACGAGGGTGCCGTCTGTCCCTGCATCGACACGCACTGCATCGACACGCAGCTCCGCCGCTTCGAGCAGCAGGTGCACTGGTTTTGGCGAGAGATCTTTGAGACCCTTGCAATGAGTGACGAGACCCACACATCCAACGAGACAGGGGGGGGGGGAGGGAGTGTCACGCCTATGTCAGCACACAACCTCTCCCCTCCCGTCTGCTTTGAGGCACATGTTCTGTTTTTCCACTCTCCATTGAAATGGAAGACATTGAAGTGGTTAAGACTAATCCCACGGAATTGAGCAACATCACTTAATCAATGTCAGTTGAGTCAAAAAAACACAAGCAATCTGACAATCATACAGATTTTTAACCAACCCTTACTTGGAAGAGGAAAAACAAAATGCAAACAGTCAAGTTATTATTTAAACTGTGTGCTCTAAACATCCATCAAAGGTTTACAGAGCAGCTTCCTGGTTCACTTTGACCTACCGTACTCACTACAAATATGCGCACACCATTTCCTGTACAATGACGGATTATTACCATCATTTCAAGTGCACTCTTTCAGTTTCACTTTCAAATAGAGTGGTTTAGATCGGGGGTTCCCAACCTTTCTGAGCCCATAAAACAAAATAGTGTTGACTTTCAAACCGTCATCACCAGTTGCATATTAAGCATTTTTTCACATTGTGCTGCAGAATTCTACATTTGTCTGCTTTCCTCTTTTGCTAATCAACACTTTAAATTCATCTTGCCACCACCTGAGGGGTCAGGACCCCCGGGTCCAGAAACACAGGTTCAGATAATCTCTTGGCTTGTGTACAAACTGTCTGATCGCTTGAATGCTCATTTCTTGCACCATTGATTTTATTTTTGTGCGAGTTCTCTGTGTTCCCAGATCACAACAATTACTTTTGTGAATCCAGTTCCACACAACACTGATAGAAATTATATTTTAAATAAAACACCCAAGCTGTAATAAACCCTAATTATCCTGTAAAATGTAGCTCTGCCTAGAGGCGGCAAACTAAATGGTTTCAGGGCTTAAAGAGGTGCCTCAGAGGTATGTGCCACACATCCTCAATATCTTCCAGTTGAGTAGAGAAGGTGAGTGTGTACGCATAAGGGCGAGGAACAAAAGCAAATCTTGTGGCCAGTGGGGCCTCCGCTATCAGAGCGTTTCTGTCAACGGTTCGTTTTGTCACATGACTGCGACCGTAATGCGAGCGTCAACACCCAATTTGCATATCTGACGACAAACTACTTTTGCAGGAGTGTAGCTCACAGGGGCAAAGTGGTCATGAGCAGTCGTGTATAAACTCCAGTGTCTAAATTCAAAATGGTCCAGCAGCACTGGAAATAATAATATAAGAATATAATATCTGACGTGAAGAATAAATGAGAATAAAAATCTGATCTACAAACACAACTTCAGCTCTCCTCAGGAGGTTTCTCAAATTTGCAGGTGCACTGCTCCTTCACAGGAAGCTAGAGCCACCACATAACAAGCGAGGGGGAGGAGAAGGGCCTACAGAGCGACTGCATCCTGACAACAACCTCTGATTACACCAATCAGAGCAACACAGTCTGGGTGAGGGCAGGAGTAAAACCAGACCATACACCTCCACACTGCAGTGCCAATAAACAGCAGGCCCTACTCACTCAAATTCTACCAATGGCATGGTAGTTGACGAATGGTGAAAGAGCTCGCCGATGTAATATCAGGAGAGCTGTGGCTGGAAGATGTGTCCAACTCCAGCTGTGGCTAAAATTTTAATGAGCAGCTTTGTGAGCCTCTTTTTTTTTTTTTTAATCAAATATTCCAGACTCCATTTTAATCAGCAGATTCTGGAGATTACTGTCCTCCCATGCTCGTAGGAGGGACAGACCTCACACGAGCGTGCACAGGCTTGCACCACCGCAGCTTCATCTGCCACTCTACAACAAAGTCAAACCAGCGTTTCATTTCCCTGAAGTGAATTATCTTAATACAAAAAAAAGGGTCAAAACGGTCCACAGGAGCGACATCCAATTAGTGTCAAGTGTGACTAATTATAATCCGACAAACGTGTGAAATGAAGTCAGAAACCCAAGACAGAGGCTAATTATAACACACCGAAACACTTCATTAAGCACAGTTTATAGCAAGGAGACATTCCACATCAGAATGCTAAAGCGTCTCTGAGATGAAACAGCAGCTTGACACTAGACGCACGCTGAAGCTTGCTGGGACACAAGAGAGGGAAATAGTCCGAGGTAATAATGGAAATGTACTTTCCAATAATAATCCTGCTAATCTAGCATTGGTCACTTCAACTTCCGAGTGCTTCACTGGGCTGTTCAGGAGCCAACAGAGGGAGGCTGTGATTGTATTGGGCAATTCCCAATGAAACTGAGACGCACGGCATGAAAAGCGCAAAGAAATAAATAGAGATTCAACAGACATATAGCAACCATCCAGAGCATCATGCAATGAGTGTGCAGCTGGGGGGGGGGGGGTTGTCTCGCTAAAGACTGTTCAGTCGCGTTAAATTATTATGAGTAACTAGTCTCTGAACATGTGCAAAATTATCCTCTGCAGAAAATGTCAACATCTAATGGAAATAAATAGTTTGAACTGGACAATCAGGTATCCAAAAAAAAAAAAAATCCTTCTGCATGTTTCCCCTAGGTGTAGTAACAATGGCACAATAACAATGGCAACAGTGTGGGTGGATGTGTGGTCCACTCCTTGTGCTTACAGTCCACGGAGGTGCCAGGGCACCTCTGTGGAGGAGCAGATGGTTCTCCTGCTTGTGCCCAACACTTCCTCTCTGTCGGAGCATCTCTCTGACAGATGGGCCCAGGATCCTGGACCAAGCTAATCTCCAGCACTCCTCCACTTAAAGGCACAGTGAAGTGCCTGCTCTACCTCCACAGTCCCACAGAGCCACAGAGCCGCGATGATGATGATGATGATGATGATGATAACACATCAATACAGGCGGACCGATTTAGTCACGTCCAACTGAACGTGGGTGTCAGCAAACGCAACACATTATTAGTGTAAATATTAAAGAAAATATGACATGAAGCAGGAGGCAAACGGGGTCTAACTTACAGTAATATGCTAACGAGTGGAATTGGTTAAACAATACAGGATAACAAAGGCGAAATGGAGAGAAAGGTGGAGCATTTCTTTGAAGTTGAAGGATAAATGCGACTAAAGCACGGGCTATTTGAGCACAGAGTGACAAGCTATTTCCAACGGCGGACTCAAATTGCTGTCACTTTAGTCGATTTCGCCAGCAAGCATGCAAATACAAAATGCCTCCTCCCTTGCTTTACCGGGTCCTGACCACGTCTGCGCTCGGAGGAGCCAAAGTTGACATGTCGACAATCCACACAAACTATAAACGACTTTCGGAATGTCAGATGATATTCCCCCGCTATGCCCAGCCGAGCACGAAGAAAATCGTCTTTTAATTATTCGGTGCAGCGCGAAGGCACGTTGTCGACAGTTTCCAAATAAATGTACAGCCCAGGAAAGACGACACTCTGTTGTGCTGAAGCCGTACGGAGGAAAAGCTCATCTAGTGCAGTCAAAATGCCAGTTAGTCGAACGCACATGGTTAAGACTAAACGTTAAAATGCTGTGGAATAAAAGAACTATGCGAGGCTACTTTGCCATGCAAGAAGTACACAAAAACGAATTTAGACAGCCTAATCAGTGAAATGCACACGGCTGAAAAACACATGCACGAACAGCCAGTTTTAATGTACAAGTTGGCAACAAAGTAATTGTTCACAATGTCCTAAATGTCTTTAATTACTTACGCTTTTAGTGGATTCTGAATGACAGCCGCCATTTTGCTACAATGTAACGCAATATCGGCGTCTTGCAGTTCTGAGGGAAACCTACAGGAGTTGACCAATCAGAGCTCGGGGTGAAATCGTGGACCAATACATCTGCAGCATACGCGGATGGGGCGTGGCTTCATGGGGTAAACTGTCAAAATTATTTTAAAGGGTTTTCCCTTGTATTTGTATTAGTAGACAACTGAATAACAGCACTTTTAAAGAGACCCTCACTTAAGCTTGGTCATGTATCAAGTGAGCTTCCCTCCTGGCGCACTGAAAACATGCGGTGCAAGTGGCACAGAATATCAACATGGAAGCTTGTGTTTAATTATTTATTAAAATAATTCTAAATCATTTATCATCATCAATAAGCACCAAGCAAATACTTTTCCCTCACTTTATCTGTAGCGGCAGTGTTGGAGAGGAGTGCAAGCAAGGCTTATAATACACAGTTGTGCACACGATCTATTCCTCCCACATACAGTACAGTAAGTGGTTTGACAAAGGCATATTTAAAAACAAACACGCACACACACACACAAAAAAAAACATAGAGGCAATTCCAGATTATGTTTTTGACTAATGGGAGCCGATACAACTTTAATGTTATGCAAATCTTCCATCAGTTTAGTATACACACATCATTGCTTAAATTGTTTCAATCATTCCTTCTTGATTTGTAGTCTGTCGGTGAAATAACTGGACATCACAAGATAAAACGGATATCTGAAGCAACAGACTGCACAATTTTGCACAGGAATGAACTCCAGTACAAGTAACATGACATGATGTATTTCCTATTCTATACTGTGCAATATTAGCACCTCCACGGAGTGAGTGTGTGTGTGTGTGTGTGCGTGTGATGCAACATTCAGACAGATAAATCTATTTTCAGACAAGGCAGACAAAACATTTCCTCATCAGACATCAAAACCAAAAAGTTCAAAGCTAGGAGCAAAGAGAGAATTCACTTTATCTACAAAGCTTACAATTGACAAAGACCCCTTTTTTTTCTTATTTTTAACACCAAAATACAAGCATATGTGTTAAAGGCATCACCTTGTGCTTTGTATGACGTCCACATGTAAAGCACGTGTCTCAGTCACTAAATATGGTTCAATATCTTATCACTGCCACAATCGAGCATCATTTTTTTTTCTGTGTAATAAAGACAAAAGGACAAAAACTATAAGGCGAGAAAGAGTGGTTTGCATACAGTTGCTACAATGTATATATATAAATATCCATACAGAAATTAAGGTCAAACAAAAACCAGAAAAGGAAAATATACATTATCAATAACGGAGGTATAATAACAGAAAAACAAGCTGTGAAGAGCTAAAACATAACTAAAATGTGTTGTCCTTATCCTGTCAGTCGGTGCCTACGGAGACGTGAGTGAAATATGTAAAGCTGGTTTGAAAACAAATTTGGATATTCTTCAGTTCGGCAAAACAATGTTCATACAAACAAACTGCAAATATTTAGAAAACAATTAAAATCAAGGTGTCAAGAAAACAAAATGTGAACATGAAATACATACATTTTATAACATGGATGCACTGAATTGCCGCTTGGTAGAAGAGATAGTGAGGTCCATTCAGAGACCATCCTCTGAACACGTAGAAGGCCATGGATCTCTCAGACTGTCATGCATACCGAGTGTTAATATGTTGTAGTTTAAAATCTTCAATACATAAATATTTTTTAGCGTTTTAAATGTACACTCCTCTAACATAGTTCTATGTTTTCATACATCCACAAATGACATGATAAAATCTAAACATTATACCAGCACAGACACAGTGACCTGAATGATATTTGGCACACCAGATATCCACAATCTAGACCTGCTGTGGTTCAGCTCAGCTCAGTTTGGGACAGACTAGTTGATCATCTGGATATCTGGATTTTGGCCATGGTTAGCAACAGCCTATAACAGCTGAAAAAGGCGTAGTGCAAAAAAACTAAAATGTTGCAATACAGCATGCAATGGAACCTGTAGACATACCCGCAGGGATATAAAATATCACCTTGCGACATCAGAGAAACAATGCTCAATAATAAGAACTGCTGGAAACTAATAACACCAACCCCACAGGGTCCTCGACTAACTAATACTCTTCAAATGATACATTTTTTTTTTTTTTAATATACATTTTCTGATAGTAGAAAAATAGCTCAACAGCCTTATTCAACGTAAAATTCGGGACTTGTGTCAATAAGAATCAAAGTATTCACTCTGAATAATCAAGAGTGGAAATGCAGGTTTCACACTCAGTCAAGTAACTCACATGTTCCGGCTGTTCTACAAAGGCCACAGGAACTCTGCTAAACGTCCTATAGATGTACGCCTAAATACTTCCTTTCCACAGAAACAAGACAGAACCTTTAGATTAACGGAGGTAAAGCAGTGACAGACTGCGAGCTGAGCGAGTGAGTGGTTCTCTCCGGTGCTCTGAGGAAGGAAGGCCTTCCCTGTTAAAGTTCTCCCGGTTTCTGGTTGCAGGTGGTGCAGACGCGCACGGGGTGGTCCCAGCCCCGCGACGGGACCGACCGGCGCTCCGGGGAGCAGTCGTCACACACTCCTTGGCCACAGGCACGGCAGTGGTGCTTGGACAGCTTGGCAGTGAACTCGCGCTGGCAGTTGTGGCAGGACAGGATGTCCTGGTCAGGCACCCAGTAGGCAGGACGAGCGGCATCTTTCACGAGGCCTAGAGAGCGTGACACGTAACATAAGTACACACGCAGACACGAGCAGGTATCACATACAGTATAAGGTAACACTTTTACATTAGTAAATTATAGGGCTGACATTTAAAAAGGAACTGGCTTGAACGTTTGACATTATGCTTATTCACTTTCTTGCTGAGGAGATTGAGAACACTGTCATGTCTGTTAGCTTAGCTTAGCATCAAGACCCGACACAGAAGAGAACTGCGAGCCTCACTCTGTCCAAAGGATACTGTAGACCAACATTATATTTACTTGTAAAGGGCATTGATGAATGACCTGATGTACTGCAGAGATTGTCAGGTGATCAACGTCCAATTAACGTTATATGTTGATTGTGTAATCCGTGCAAAAAACTGAAGTGTAAGAGCGGCAAGGTATGTTTTTTACGGGGGGGGGGGTTTGTGTCCTGGACATTTTCTTGGCAGGAAGCAATGACTTCCTGAAATCTCTGCCGGTTGCCTGGCAACTGCTCCCGGACAAGAAACCCAGAAGTCCAGCACGTAACCTCCCCCTAAAAACGTCAATGTCCCAAAAATGTTGAGCTACTCCTTCAATTTGGAGGCACATTCACGTACTGTGATTAAAATACTAGACTGCTGACTGTTCGATGCTAATTCTTCCTCACTACTGTTTGAAGTGCACCATAACCTCAACCCCTCAGCTGTCTTGATTGAGGTATCCATGGAAACATGGAAACAAGATTTGGATGTGGAGGCGAGTATTTTGCTGTGATTAGAGCAGACCTGGCTCTGAGGCATAGTTGGGGTGGTGATGGATATGGAGAAGTTTTCAGCAGGATATCAAACATTCATATATGTCCTTTATCAGTCAATATAGGTCTAGAGGAGCCTCATTTAGCAGCCCAATACACATTAATAATCACAGTACTAATGCTTTGGATGAAATAAATATAAAGGGCTATTTCACTGTGTTTTTGAGTGAGTGCAGCATTTATTCCAATGCAGCAGAGCCAGTTTTGAGATTATCTTGACAGAAACGCGTGATATTGGCTGTTGTAAAAAAAGGTTGGACCAAAATTTGTGGACAGAGTGACTGATCCAGACTACTGCACAGTCTATGAGGAACCTCAATACATTCATATTATTGACTCAAGACATATATAGCAAAAAGGTGCGTTTACAGCAGGAAGTCTCGTAAAAAGAAATGAATAAACAGGCTTAACTGATCATCTCTCTCGCCTTTGCACTGAGATGAAACAATAAATAGAAGAACTGACATGTTAAACATTAGGTAGCAGAGCACTCCTATATGGAAGCACTGACACATGAGATTGTAAATGTCAGTTTCAGCTGCTGTAGCGAGAATGTGTGTGGGAGGATTTTAAATTTGTAGTCAATAAAACCTTTTATTGGCAGAAATAAGTTACAAACAAATTCAAATTCAGTATTTGAACTTGTCTTTTATAAAAACTTTAATTGCAGACACTCATCTGAGTCCACTCATAATGTTGACGCAGTAGAACACACTAGGCCGGTTGGGAACCGACTGCCCCTGTTTGGACTGTGAGCTTTTAGTAAATGTACAAGCTCTATTGGGCCATCAGGGCATCCTATATTCCTTATAAGGGAAGTCAGACTCCTGCATAACATATTTGAGAGTTCAAACTAGAAACAAGGCCTCGCTGCTTTTCTTTCTTGCTGTAAATAAGCAGGTCACACCTCTGCCACCAGAGGGCATTGTATCCACTCACTCACATTTACTGGGTCATTAATTCCCGTTACGCAACAATCCTCTCTTCATGTTTTGTTTAGGGCAACACTCACCAAATGGGATGTCAATAGCAGTGACCACAACCCCAAACGTGTTGGTGACTGCTTCCCCAACCTTCCTGGCCAGAGTTCCACCTTCTTCCTCCTCGAGCTCTGCCTCGAGCAGCTCTGCATAGAGAAAATATCTTTGCTCAAGCCCCCGCCGCAACCAAATGTTACTCGGCCGCATGGCACACAGAAGAGGAACAGTGTGTACCTGCGTATGAAGCTCTCTGTTCGAAGCAGATGTCACAGACTCTGACAGGGGCCAGGCCCCAGCCTCTCTCGGGCACGGGGGCAGCTTTGGAAGAGCAGCCGTCGCAGAAGCCCTCCCCACAGGCACGGCAGTGATGCTTGGTGTCGTTGTCCTGGAAGACTGCGTGACACTTATGGCACACCTTGTACAAGAAGAAAAAAAGCAATAACAACAGATGTTTTTATTGATGAAGAGCTATGACTTGCGTAATACGCAAAGATCACCACGGACAGTAAACATAGCTCTGGACACGAAAGTGTTGACTTGGCTGTTGGTGGTGGGTGGCAGAGGGTGGGGCTGTGAGTCACTCACCAAGATGAGGGAGTTGGGTTTCCAGTAGGCTGGGGCGATCTGATCCGTCAGCCAAGACGTGACGGCCTTGGCAGGCTTGACACTGAGCTCTGACACAGACTGGGCCACTAGGTTCACTCCATCCAGAAGACGCTGCGCTGCATTGCTATTGTCCTTTAAAAAGCCAACCGACTGCAAACAGGAGACAGGTTTTTACTACATAAGTAGACACATGGTTACCTCTAGACGTAATGATAGGTCTGTATGATTACAGACAGTTAAGGCAGCATCATAACAAATCAAACAGCTGGTTTATCTTACCCCGGGCCATACATGCTGGATCTCAGTGCGGACAACTGTATCCACAGGGTCCTGGTTCCCGTACCAGTATTGACGGCTCCGATAGATCACTCCACAGTTGGGACATTCAATGACGTACCTTAACATACAGCAGACACATGAATGTACAAGTCTCTGTGAAAATATAAATGTAAATATCTGAGATATTACTTGGAATCTGTTAGTAAAGTAAATAGAAAAAAATTGATTTTAGGTCAGCTAAAATGAGGCTGTGTAAAAGGTAACATGAGCCTAACCCAAGCCGTGTTACACATCACCCTGCGGGTCATTGTGCTGCTACTCACCCAGACCAGGCGTATTTGGCGAGGCCCATCCATGGAGAGTCTGAGGAAGCTGAGGTCTTAGGGACCACTATCACTTCCTTTCCCCCTTCATAGCAAGCCTAAAGTGATGCAACACACAGTGACGTTATACTCATCAGTCATGGAACAAGAGGAACGACACAGTCAGTGGTATAGAGAGATGAATTAGTTCTAGCTAAGCGATATAGGTGAGCGACTGTGCTTACCTTACAGGTGTAAATGCGATTATCATACTGAACAGAATAACGACAACGGTGCTTTGCCTCATGGCACACTCCTTCTTCTAAGTGGTTCATGCTGTTCTTGCAGCCAGATCTGGGACCAAAGTAAACCGCCAGAATGTTTAACAATCAGAGGGGCAAGGGATTGAAGGACAAGTTATAATGGTTGGAATGTATTTAGAGGGAGGAAGGTACTGACCCACAGCTGAGGCACAGGCTGGAGCAGGTGAAGTACTCATCAGGGAAGAAGCAGCTGTGGGCTACAAGCTCACCTGCAATTTCTCCATTAAAGCGCTCACTCAATGCCTGCAAGAGAACCAAGGACCAGCAGAAATGAGCTAGACCCAGAGGAAACCAGGGGTTTCACCTCCACTTCACTGTGACATTGCATGGAAACAGAATAATGCATTTTATGAACAGTTACATGAGCTGTGCTGATTAAAATGCATCTTTATCTGAATTCAGGAAACAGTTTATCAGCAAATGACGCATCAGTGCAGTTCAATGCTGGCTTTATAACAACAACCAGCCAGTCTGAAGCAGGCCGGAAGCTGGCCGGAAGCTGGCCGATAGTCAAACTGTATACATCTCTATACCTGCAGGGCTTTGAAGATGACCAGAGGGGTGCGTGGGGAACGGGTGGCGTTGTTATCCAGGAGCTGCTCCAGTTTATTCTGCAGGCCACGGAAGTCAGTTGGGGGGCTGAGAGTCTGCGTGCCCCAGTACTGTACAGAGCTGAAGGCCTCTGGGAAACGGGAAAGCTTCTTGAAGCGAGCCGACAGCAGTCGGTCTACTGACTCAGATGATTTATCTAAAACAAGACACAGATAATTACTACAGAGTGTAATCAGAATGTACAGTAGATAATCAGCATTTGCTTCAGATACACAACATAGTTCTTACAATACCGTGCTTCATTGTATCAATTATGGTATGTGAAAGAAAGATATTAAATGAAACAGGCTGTAAGCTAATATTTGCTGAAGCTGAAATTATCTGCAGAGCTTAAACCTTAGTTTACTTTGAAGCCCCGCCCCTCGTCCCTTACGGTGATGCAGACCTACAATCATGGTGATACAGTCACAAAGTATTGTTTCAATGGGTGTCTTCCAAATAAATTCTTTGACTTGTCTAATAAATGTGCTACAGATGAAGTAATGACACTCCACCCATTACTAGCGTGACCTGAGAGTAACAGAAGTGTTTAGATATTTTACCTGAACCAAGCAGCTTCGTGTGGACTGTTTCATGGAAGATGACCACCGCAGGGCCCAAGGTGGACAGAGGGACATCCAGGCCACAGCGGGCTGTTGTAGCCTTCAGTTCCTTGGTGAAATGCTTCAAGTAAGCATCAGAGGCATCCCCGAGGAACTTGAAGAGGTCGTCGTGGAGTCGGTCGGCATGGGTGCGGTAGATGATGAGGTCGGAGATGGCGAGCACCTTGAGCAAGAGACGGGTTCTCTGGCCCTGTTTGGAGCTGTTCCCAAGCAGCCCCTCTGTGTCGATGACTACTACTTTACGGAAGGGGTCAAACGCCGCCCATACACCCACCGTACAGGACTCTTGTGTGGGAGAAGTTTTGAACACCTCTCTGCCCATGAAGAACGTGTGGTTCAGGGTGTGAGATTTGCCCTCTCCTGTGTTGCCAAAGATGGACACCACCTTCAGCAGCTGGTCAGGGTTGCCGCTGAGGCTCTTTACAAATGAGGATTCATCTTTTATCTTCGGAGAAACAAGAGTTTTGAGTTAACATTTGTTTATTTGTTTTGTTGTATTGATTCTGTTATCATACATGACAAGTGTGATTCTTGCACAACTCACCTGCATTTCCTCATTCTCGTCAACCAGGAGAAAACTGGAAATATTCTCCAGAAGTTTTGCTCTCTGAGATTTGGTCTCATCGGGTATTTGGACAGCGGGCAGGACAGATGTCTGGACAGAGTTGACCTGGGCAGGTTTGGGTGGTGGAGGATAAGATATGAGCTGGTGTTTCTTCTTGTTGCCTCCACTGTGCGTGCATTTGTGGCAGTCTTGGCACAAGTTGACTTTGCAGTTCTGGCAGCGAACCACAGATCTATGGCGTTTGCCATTGTCTCCATTACCTCCTTTACAGTTGTCACAGTAAGGGACATGCCCAGGTCCTATCTGAACCCGCTCATGGTTCTTCAGATGCTCCTGACTGTGGAGCTCCAGCTCACAACGAACACACTGCAAGCTTTTGCATTCATCACACTCAAATGCGGCCTCCTCGGAGCCACCACAGGCATAACTCTCTTGACATATTAGGCTAGTATTGACTCCCTTTTCCGAAGATGAGCCATGCCCACTCATCGTTTCTCACAAGGTAAACTTGAAAACAGAGCAGTGCTTATTGTAACAGCCTTGATAACAGTACCAGCTATTTCAAATAGCAGTTAATGGAAATTGTACAACAACAACAAAATCAAGTTACAACAGCTGCATGGTAACAGGGCTGGTGGTCTCAACAATAAAGCACTCTCGACAATAATACTATATATTAAACTACTTTTCGTAGCATGGATTTAAAACACTTACAATGGTAATAATAATGTTATTTAGTGCAACAAACAGTGAGGCAATGAAGCAGAAACAGCTGTCTCCTTGAGTTACACCAGATATGTTTTTACCAATAACAGTTAGCTTGTTCATGAACCAAAGTTAGCATTTAGATGCAGAATTACATAAGATATATAGGTTAGCTCACAAAATAAATAAAATATTAACATGTAACGTTACAGGTATACAGTACCGACCGAGACAATGAACTCTCCCTGAAGGATGAATGTGCAAATGTTGACGCTAACAACAGGCTAGCTAGCAAACGGATCCACAATAGCTCGCTGGCAAACTCAGTAGATAATGTGGCATCCAAACAGCAACACTTAGTTTAAGACTAGCTGGTTTCGATGGACAGTTTTAACTTCCCCCCCCCCACCCCCACCCCCCCAAAAAAAAAGCTGTAATTAGCGGACCAGCAAGCCCGAACAGTTCATAGCCGTACAAACAAGCAGCTCGCCTCAAGTCTGTCAACTGAGCTGTAACAACATATCAACAAAAACAACAACCAGTCGACGTCAAAAGCTCGGGTATCAGCGGACTATTTTGCTTTAAAACGGGAGGGAAATCCGCGCTATTTCGTTTAAAAAGTATTTCAAAAAGTGTTACTGCATTTGAATCCTTCCGAGCAGTGTCATTGTTTTGTTCTTCGGCCCCCTCCCTAGCAGATTTCACTAGCTACGTTATTTTGTTGCCAGGTCAGATCAGCTGATCAGATTATTTTCAGTCACAGGGTCAGACCAGGGTAACGTGCTGTTGCATGATGGGAAACGTAGTTATACAAGACGGACAAACTGTGAGACGCACGAGCAGAGACGACGGTTTCTGATCAGTTGACAAAATGTTTTCATGTGCTCACAAAAGGAAACTTGTCTGCAAATTGAACTCAAATAATTGAACTGATTGCTGATATAAAACCTGATGATATACCCTCTGTCTACAGGGTTTAGGTGTATTTTACGCAAATATTTTGGAGGGGAAGTGGTAGGCTACATTTTTTACAACCAGTCTTTCCAGAGGGCACTGAAATCCTCTTGGATTTATGCTACCCCAAAGCACAGTAAAATACCATAAGTTATTACAAGATGAAAGCAAGAGGCACAACCAAATATTTAAATTAATTTACAGATATTGCTATAATGTTATTTGTTGGGTCTCATGTGTTTTTCTTTAGTGTTTTTGTGCTCTTCTGATACATGCAAATGAATAAGATACAGACAACTTAAAAATAATAAGACCTTGGTCTTAGTTGTTGTGGCAAATTGCCCCATGTCACAATACATTTTAATGAATATGATCTTAGTTTTAATATCACAATCCTTTTGGGTCAATCCTAATTAAATATTCATCTTCGAACATCATTTTAGCAAAGACATTTCCAAGTGGGTGGCTGTTTTAAAAGTAATTGTGTTACACATGCCTGAGCATAAGCTTTCAAACAGAGGATGGATTTAAATGGCTTTTGTCTTGTAAAGTAACACTTCAAAGTATCAGCAGGTGACTATTTGTCTTAAATGACTCTTTTGTGTTTTCCCTCCATTTCTTCACTAACAGCAGGCTACCTTCCTCTGCAGGGTCTGCAGACTATATGTTATCCAATTTAATTATTAAAGCAATTTAAAAAAAACACAGCAACTGGCAATTAAATATGGGTTGCATAGTGCATTTATTACAAAGCTTTACACACACATACACACACAAAAATATGAACAACGGTAACAAATAAAACATGAATGAAAGGAAAGGACAGAGAAGATGTAAAAAAGAGCAGAATATGTAGTTTACTTAATGCAATGAGTTTTGGATAAGGATTGTAACATTTCAATGCAGGTTGTCAATGATCATGAATTATGTTTCAGTGCACAATTCACATTCTGTGGAGAAACATTTGAAAACAAATGCACAATATGCCATAAGACTCCCCCAACAGACTGTGTCTACTGAGCAGAATCCACTCTTTGACCACACATCAGATGACTCTGAAGACTTTCCTCCATCCACAATCACAAAAAATCTTGAAACGTTTGAGCAGGCTGAGCTTTGGAGAGGTTTTGCCGGTGTGCTTGTGCTTGATGGCAGCAAATATAGCACAGTCAAACACATCTTTGAGGTTGTGTTGTGTCAGAGCAGAACACTCCACATAGCCATGAGCTCTGATCCTGTGTGCCAGCCTTCTGGCCTGGCTGAAGTGCACTGGTTTGGCGCTCCGCTGGTCCAGATGAATAAGGATGTCCACATTGTGGCAAAGGTCCGACTGAGTTCCAACCAGAAGGATGGGAGAGGTTTTGTTGCCGGCTCGGATTTGTGGGATCCATTTGAAGGTGATGTTGTCAAAGGAGACAGGGTTCACCAGGCTGAAGCAGAGAACGAAGACGTCCACATGAGCGTAGCACAGAGAGCGAAGATGGCCAAACTCCTCCTGTCAGATAAATTCACGAGAGATAAGGAAGAAAGGACTAACTGGTCTGGTGAAGAAATTCCATTTTGATGTGGAACATTTACCTGTCCAGCAGTATCTATCAGTTTGATACGAGTTGGGATGCCATTCACATGAACCAAACCTGTAAGTCAAATAGAAACCAGTTGTATTACTGAGTCAAGCAAGCTTTAACCTTTAAAGAATAACCTTCACTCACCGGTGAAAACATCAAAAGCTGTTTGTCTGTACTCGCTGTTGTATCCGTTGAAGATGTAACTGATAATCATGCTAGTCTTCCCCACGGCTCCATCACCAACCAGCATGCAGCTCAGCTCTCCCCTCAGCCTGTTGGGTTTATCACGTCTCTGGCAGGCCATCTTTCCTTATATATTTAGGCTACTCCATTTTCCCAGCAGTTTCAAAGTCCAAGCAGGAGCACAGCATTACTGTAAAATATGTCTTCTCCCCCAGGGGCCCGTTGGTGCCAATAAAGGAGAGAGGACACCTCGATTTGAAAGAACAAAGGCACCCAATCAGATAGTCTGTTTCCCTTTGATGCTGATTAACATAGTCACTCCCACCAAGACGTGACGGGCCTGACCGCCGGTAAAAGTCAGCTGTAGGTACAGACAGTAACTTCCAGACTGCGACTTGCACAGCAGAGTGCAATATTATTAAGCTTAATAGTCTGCAAAGTGTATCTTATCTTGTGCATATGTGTATATTGTAAGTTAACTAAAGTAAGTTAAATAAGTAAGTATATATTTATATCTATCATATCTATAAATATACTGCTATTAATAACTTTGTAGTTTAAGGGCTTGAAAGAAGTTACTTTTTCAGGCTACTGATTCATTTTAAAAGCTCGTGCTGCTTCTATATTTGCTTCTGCCTCTCGCAGTCTCTATCGCTCATTAATGTATTTAATAATTGAGTGTAGTACCAGTATTGATCCCTAGAGGGAGGTGTTGCCCCAGCATTGGCTTTTGCATGTTGGTGTCCACCTTGTGCTTCATCGTGACGCTGCTTTCAGTTTCTTCTCAACAGACTACAACTTTTTGAGATTTCACGGATGGTCAGACACATTATTTAATTTTTTGTGTTTAATGTATAGTGTATTTTTGGTCTTCAAGTGGGACAGAAAATTGTCATCTTTCACAAAAGACCAGATGTCCATTTCTTAGTTCACTTTATTAATTGTTAGGTAATGTGCTTCGCTACCATATCACACCTCAGTAACTTCGGTATCTGAGATTGTTTTTCCCTGACTTGGTTTATTGTTCATGTGTTTTCAATCTATGAATTCAATTTTCTGAAGGCAGCTTTATTCTCATGTGTAAAAGGGGTAAAGGGTACAGCGGAGGGGACATTGTTAAACTGTCACCAGCTGCAGTTTATGGCAGAAGCTAAATGTGCCATGTTTCATCCTGTCTCTTTCAGGGTGACTGGGTTCATAAATACACCCAAATAATATTCCTACTTTATTGAAATTAAAATCATCAAACATTCACTTGTGGTTTACACAGCAAAACTGTGCAAAAATGTACTTGTTGGTGAATGTCTATTAATTGTTTGACATTGTTAGGCAGTTACTCCAAGTTGTGCCTCTTTTGCATGGAACTGCTTCTGGTGCAAAGTTGTAGGAATATTTGATTGTGTTCATGAAGATAATAAATGAGCAGGTTATGATGCTTATGATCGAGCCTTCAGATCATCACCACACAGAAATCCTTGTGTCTGTCCCCTGACCTTATGAAACAGGCTTTATTTTGTCATAATGATAAAATGTTTATAATAATGAATACACATTCTCTTACTGTATTTTGCTTTGAATAAACTCATTACTGCAGTTATATAGTTTTGCGGTATTCGAGCTGAGTGTATATATTAAAAAACTCAAAATGCACATTATCATCGTAGTATTGCAGAAGAACTGTAAGAGCATTGGTAAAATGTGGTTTTAGAGATCGGTATACATTTATGGGTGAAAATAAAGCTTTAAACAATGAGTTGTTCCTTATCTGTCTGAGCCTGCAGGAAACTCTGTGCATTGTGTTGTAAGGTCTCTGCTTCCTGTTTGCCGTTGTTTCTTGCTCACTCGTTCTTTTCTCCCTTTCTCTCCCGCTTTTCCCACCACCTGCGCTGTGAGTGATAGAGTTTATTCCCAATGGTAGGAGGACAACATCTGGTCCCCCCCCCCCCCCCCCCCCAACACACGTCATGTTGCCAGCTCGGCTCCCATGCTACACCTCTGGCAGCTGTGAGTCACAATGATTGTGTTCCTTAAGCCAAGGTAAATGTCAAACACAGGAAACGGTCTTTAAATATCTCCACATCCAAAGATTCTCTTTCCTGTAACAGACACTTTTATCATCACAGCTCAACCAGTAAGCCGCTCTTCAATACTACAAATGCAAATACAGACACTGTGCTACTGAATGCAAACGTGTTTGCATGTACCTTAACCTGTGAAGCAGATGTCAGCAGCGTGTTCATGACTTTAACAGTGGCTCAGTGTCTAGAGAGAATCAGTCGGGATGCTACAAACATGTTTTGGTTCTGCATTCTCACGCTCTCTCTCTCTCTCTGCATGACTAGACATGCAGAAATGTATCGCGACATAGATACACAAAGGTAATCTGCTTAGTAAGTGTCTCTTAATATGCAAATTAGGGCGGGCTCCCAAACACAGCACGCCTTAAAATTCCTTCCTCTCATGTTGACTGACTCATGAATTAATGCAAGAATAAGATAAACTCAAATGCCCCTCATGTCTCTCCGAACTATTGCTCTGCATGGTTGTTAAAAAGTAAACCCAACAACTGATTCAAATTCCTGTTGTATCTTAAAGCTGACAACAATAGAGAAATCTGCCATGTAGGTGTTAAGAGATTATGCTCCTCTCTAAGCCAGAGATCAGCATGGCACACTGTAGACAGGGCACAAAACAAGTGGCAGACACGGAGATGGAGCAATAAACAAGCCATTTGTATAACACCTCCTGCATAATGTGTCTTTAAGTAGATATTGCCTAGGCTCTTAAGTGGTGAGGATTAGAGCAGGATGGGTGCTTCCATCACACTGAGACCTCTCATCATGGAAATCATTCCCCCGTCTTCTTTCGTTCCTAGATGTGACTTTAGGGTCACAGCGGGGACACATTGTCACTTGCTAAACATATATTTGACATAATCTCTGTGATACTGTTTGCTTCCCGATGTTAAGGGTCCTCACCCGCTTGCGTGAATTTGACACAAAACATATAAACT